TAGATTTTGTGAGTATGTCGCAACAATACAGGAGTGTCTCTATCTTTAGGGTGATTTAAAAAATTTAATAGAAAGCGATGAAAATGCAGAGCCGATTGTGGAGCATATGCCAGAAGTGGAAAAGCTTCAAGCAGATGTGCGAGAATTATTAAATGTTACTGAACAAGATATTATCACGATCGCTCCCGGTACTTATGGTTAGTTTCTCACTTTTTTTTTTACTTCATATGCATTTTCCCTCTATTTTGCTCTTTTTTTTTTGCTTTTATCGAAAAAGGTACGCAACTCAGGAGCAAAAGGCCTGACATAACTCTGCCCAACATAAGGGAGCATTCTAAGTAACATTACTGGTGTGGGACCTCTGCTTTGATTATCCAGGTAATCATGATATTTTTTATTATTTTTTCCCCATTCACTAGTTTTTTTCTGGTACTTGTTTACCTCATTTAAAAGTATTAGCCTCGACTTTCTTTCGCTTTTTTTTCGTTCTGTTTATTTTATTGAAATATAGTGATTCTTAGCATCGTTTTTATGGTCAAGACAAACCAGCAAAACCGACTTAGCTATAAATTTAATTTTCGCAACGTAATAATCAATTTAACAATCAATATTATTGTTACTGTTTTTCTTCTACAGCACCTCTTATTATTAACATTTTTACGCAGTTTAATCATAATATCTACTAACTTTAATTACCACAGTCGTCGTATTGACGAGGTCTAGTTGTGGTAACGATAAGAAATGTATACGACTTAATGGACCGAAACATTTCTTACCACCAAAATAATTCTATTAATTTACAAATTTTATAATTCTCATCTCTTACCTTCCTTTTTGTTCTCTTTTCATCCGTTGTTAATATACCTTCTTAAAATTAATTTGAATTTTTTTTGTCTCACTGTAAAATGGTACGGAACAAGAAATATCTGTGGCCTTAAGTTTGTTGTCTTGACATTTCTTAGATAAAAAAATTATCTGTATGTTTACGGACGATGCAGTTTACTGTTAACAGAGACTTTTTCTCATTTTATTTGCAAAAACTGCCTCCCATTCTTTGAAATAAGAAGATCGTGTATTTTACAAAAAGGTCAGCTTCAATTCTCTGTTTTTCTTGTAAAAATTTTAGAAAAAATTGGCCCGTTTTTGTAAAATGTGTTAAAAAGAAATCTAAATTACATCTCTCTTCCTTCTACTTTCCCGCAAACTTAGTTACACTCCGAAGTGCCACTTTTACTCTTTGTAAGATAAAAAATCCTTATTGTGTTTTTTGAAATTTCAGGTGCTCTTCAGGATTTTTTTCGGGTCTTCTTCGCCAGTACTTATTCGCTGTCAATAACGTGCTGTGCTGCGTATCGAAAGAATGTCTTGTACAGTGTGGTCAGTTTTAACATATCCCAGAAATTTTCGTATTTTTTTGGTGCTGCTTATTTTTCCTATCATATTAATCAATTTAACAATTCTATTATTATTACTACTGTTCTTCCACAGCACTTCTTACTTTTAACACTCATAACACAATTAATTTAATCTTAACATTTAATAACTCTAATTAGCACAGTCGTCGTACTGACGGGGTCCAACTGTGGTAATGGTAAGAAATGTATACGACTTAATGAACCGAAACATTTCTTGCCATTAAAAAAATTCTATTAATTTACGAATTTTCTAATTCTCGTCTCCTTTTCCTTTCTCTTCGGCGGATTGCATTTTTGAATCTTTGCTGAGACTTGCTCATTTTGCTTTCTCTCATTTGCATTAGGACGTCATTTGAATTGACACAAGAAACCGTATTCCACATAACACATCCAGTCTCAATTTTTATGCGTTTTTTGCATCTAAGAAATGTAGAAAACGCATATTGACCATGGATTGTCTGTATGTCCGTGTGTCTGCACCGGTTTTTCATCTCAAGACTTGTATAAGCTAAAGGCTGAAACTTTGGGAACTTAATCTACGTGGGCGTATGGGCCCCAATCCTCAAAATGGGCGCCCTTACCCGTGTGGTGCCCACTCTCGGTTCCGCCAAAGTTTTTTACGAGCAAACTGCTAACTCGGGGACAGAAATGCTAGAAAGCTAAAATTTTATAGGGATGTTTTCTGACAGTTCTGGCGGCCAGTTTTAATTTGTTTAGCTAGAAGCGTTTGCCGAAAAAACTGGTGCCGGTAGCGACAAAACTTGCAGGGAGCTATGCAAAAACCGCATCTTCGCACCGGCAGCCGGTGCGTTGGCCGATTATCATAATACTGATTCTGCAAAATTTAACTGAGCTTAAATTATTACACCTATTTTCAGGCGGATGAGCGACAAGATTCAACGAAAAAGCAGCTCTCAATACCATATAATTATGGGTACAATGTGCCACACTTAGTATTCGGTAGTTTTGGTTACTGGTATTCGAAAAAAAGCAATCGATTCGAGCTTCATGATCTTCATATATTGGGTTTTCCGGTGTTGCCTTGGTATCGAGATTTGCCTGCTACGGATGGCAAGTTTTTCTCACCAAAGTATGAATACGTTCGGCAGCCGAGCTCGATGTTGTTCCCATTTAGCTGAAGATTTTGTTCGTGGTATTCTTTTTGCAAAGTTATTTTTTTGCAAAAATTCTCCATTAGCTTTTTGTTTTTTTCTTTTGTCAAGTTCCAACTTTATTTACTGCTCAGATAGTTCTCAAACGATCTGATGATAGTTAAACTTTAGGGCTACTTGAATTGTGAAATGTACGGTTGGCAACGGTGAGCTAAAACCCGCACAGCAAGTTCATGGCTCAAAAGTACGAAAAATTTCTTTTTTTAATTTTGGGATGATTTTAATCCAGGCTTGTTATAGCTGTAGTTGCGCGTGCTGCAACATTGGTAGGACCACACTTTACAACCCTTTCCCCTTCATTTATTTTCCCTACTCTGTCCCAATTGCTCATGTTTTTTTCGGCCATACTACCCTTATTTCAGTCCTTTTCCTTCCGCTATGTCCTGCCTTAATTCATCCACTCTTTGCTGAGTCATTTTTCAAGCGAGTTTACATATTGCACAAAATACTTGTATTTTGCTCTTTATGCATCAAAAATTTCAATATATTTATAAGAAAGACAAAATTAACATGAAATTTAAAAAAGTAATGAAGAAGCCAGCCAAGGATTCAGGAACGCGTTCGCTCTGACGTTT